CCAAGTTAGTATAGCAATCGCTACCATAGCGATGCAGTGTAGTTGACGTTAGCTTGAGTTTCATTAGCTATACCATATAGCACCGAAAGACAGAAATATTCTTCTTCTTGATCCTTGATCTGCTTTATGAGGCAGAACTATTGCGGTACCGCTCAAACTTTTGTCCCTGCACGTTGATTAGAAAATTGACTTGTAAGATTAGGGAGAGATTACTATGTTAATCTAAGAAAAATATCAATATGACAAGATGTCTCGAGGTTACCATTTTCACGGTAATTTTTATCTTGAATTTTTAGCATTTAATTCTCTTCGTTTCGAGACTTTTTACTCTCAAGAAATGTTGCTTATGAGCCCCGGCATGATAATAATATCATAAGTATATACTTGGGAAAGATGCCAGGCCGTATCATTCTAAATTTTTGCTTTATCAGGGTCTAGTCTAATTCTGTGCATCTCACACGTTTCTCGTTCTCCATTCACTGCGTTTTACTGACAATAAGAGAATGATCTATTTTAATCTTGTCGCCTTTTTCTTGTTGTACCTACACCTTCAATGCTAATCAATTCTTAAGGTGATATGGAGCCAATACTCCTAAGATTAAATAAACAGATTATAGATTCTCAAGAATTCTAAGTTGGAATTCCAAGGAAAGATAAAGAGCGTGGCCAGAGCGATGGCGGCGGCAGCGAGCTTATCTCGCGAAGCAAACGATCATTTATCAAAAGCACGTAACACCTATGCAAGAAAAATCGACAATGTTTTAGCTCTAGTGGAAGGGGTCGGCGTGCTCGTGACGTGCGAGATGGATGTACGGACCGAACCCTCTACATCCTGGACTACAACAACATTATGTATACTAACCGAGGGTAAAAAATGCTAACAGACTCTTGATAGTCTGCAAATGTATGCAGTCGTAAGACCCTTTGAGCGACTTCTTAGAAGAGAGCAAGCGACAAATGCTTTTCCTTTAGTGCCCATTTCTCTTGTTTCGTATTTTTCCCAATTGGTGGATTAGTCTTTTTCGTGGAGTATGAAGAAGTATCCGCCAGGACGGCGCTGACTGTAGGGGGGGTACAAAGAAAACAACCGATTTTATAAAGCTAGATGGTAAGAGGAGTGAAGAAAGTATGAAGTTAAGAGAGGAAGATGTGCCTGGAGCCAAATTAAAATTTAATATTCTTAAAGACAACACCGTTGCGGAGCTGAAACGTTGGCTGACTTGCCGTAGTTCGCCCATATCTCGGAGAAAAGTAGAGTTAATCGAGAGGTCATTTTTGACAGCTGTTTAATGATTTTTATTTTAATACGATGACTATATCTTGTTTTCTGCATGTGATATGGCAAATAACATTTTTTAACGAAACATCAGACTATAAAAAACAATTGAAATAATATTGATTTGCACTATATGCTTAAATCAATACTCCTGGAAGCTTGAATCCCGTTTGCGACACTTTTTTTCCTCGACACTCAATTTCGCGATGGGTACAAAAGTTATCCCATTCTCCGGGTACCGACTGTCCGACGTACAATTTCCGAATGCACAAAGCTTCGTTGATATCTTATCACTTATTTGTGTAGCTATAAGAATATATTGTACTTTCTTTTTTTATTGATATTATAGAAATCAAGACGTCTCCAGTCTACCAAAATTGTACGATTTGTTCGTACCCCCCCTCCCCCGCCCTCCTAGTGTTGCGGGGTGGCACCCCTGTGATAGTGAATAGATACCGTGGCCGGCTTATATACCTACTAAATATTACGATGTGAAAGTCTTGTAACAATTATGATTATTATTTATATCGTTGCAGAAGTAACATATTGTTTAAAGGAGACATTTTTCGTTTAATAAACGTTAACATAACTGAACTAGCAATCAGAGTATCCTATAGTATATTAGATTCTTGCTGAAAATTATGAACACATAAAACTTGATATTAGTAAATACTTGAGAAATTTTTATTTATTTTTCATTGTAATTAGGTTGCAACCTTGGCAGCAGAGAGTTCTGAAAGATTTATTATAAAATTCTTAATTATGAGTAAAATAATTCAAAAGTTTATCAGAAAGTGCTTAAACTGCGCATTTAAGGAATTCTTATGTGTCAATATTAGATCTTGTAAAGATATTGTGATTCAGATTTCGAAAAAAGTTTTTCTGCAGATTGCAAAATTTTCAATTGAGTACAAGTTGCAGTCATAATGGTAACAAGTTGATAACAAATTGTAACACAGCTAGGGATGGAAATGCGTTTCAATACACACTTATACGAATGCCATGAAATTTTAATGCCTCCCGGTTTCACTATTCTTACTTTACATAATGTACATAAATCTCCATGTATACATAATTATTTTACAGACTATGGTTGCGGATAATGTGTTTCTGTCGAACAATATTAAGATTAAGCTTGAACTTTCATCTGACGGAGGATTTCTACGAAATTTTTTAAGTTGTCTTTGATATGAATTTCTTAAGAAATCTTTTTGAGTTTTGTTTTGCCTGGAAAGGTATTAGAATAACTAAGGAAATCGAAGCTTGCCGGACATAATTCTTGGCCAGCTTCAATACACCCTAACAGTACTTCTGCAATAACTATAGCTAACAAGAGAGAAATTGGCATAGCGTGGCGTGGCATTGTTGGGCAAATACTTGAACCCGGTCCAAGTTTCTCTCTGTAATTATTACGAAGAACGGCTTCTCTTACTTTTCGACTCTCTCATACATAACTTATTCTCTCAGTTGAATCATCTGGAACGTGGACCGCCTAATTTCAACTTCTAGAGCGGCAACGCACTAATTTGTTCAGAAATTGATAATCAGAGACGTTTCGTGGTTTTCGTGTCGCCTAACTGATAGAGTCGACAAGGGCCATTGATGTCCTAGAAAATTATCAAAGAAAGAAAACGCGCTGAAAGACGAAATCAGGACAGAATAAAAGAAAAAGAATAAATAGATGTACTGACATAACTAAACTGTTATATGAAATTGATATGGGACAGCGGGAATAGGAACGAATGCGACGTGGAACGAAAAAATGAAGACGTGTACGCTATATAAAATTTGGCCCAGACGACTGCGAGACTGCAACGTTCCGATTTTGTTTTCACTGCACGCACGATTTCTTAGCGCTTAGGCGTAGTCATGAAATGATAAATCACTTTTTGAAATAATGAATTGCATTGCTAGCTTGCTTCGACTGAATAGAAATCAAATTCCCACTTTCGCTATCGCCGATAACTGAACAAACCTTAAGGGGGAATGGAATAGGCTATTTCTATGGGTAAATTGTCGCACGGTCGCGGCTCAAAGTACCATTCCCCCTTAACGCCCTTTATGTAGTCCCATGTCTTGAGTCGTAGAGTACCGTATCCGATGTTCAGTTTTATTCTTTGGAAGTCAGGGATTCAAACCCAGTCAGTTTCGCTCCTATAAGAAGTTCGAACCAATTCTTATTATAATATTGGACTTTCTTTATCCGAGAACTTTTCGGATCGATGGGTTTCGTTTTTCAGTTCGTTCATATATCGACACTAGATAATGTTTGTTTAAAATTAGAGTTGGATGAAAGACTGGAAGGAAAAATCTGTGACTAGAGAGAACGTTCAACCGGAGTTCGCGCTTCTCGGCAAAGTGTAAAGCTGGAAATACTCTTGACTATCGCCAACGCCTGCCCCAGGCCACCCTCCTTTCCGGCGGGCTGACAAGGGTGCTGTATTCGTGTGAACGTGACGCCGTGCGTCGCGACGCTTCGAGGCGTCGGATGAGCAACTGTTGCATCCTCAACCACACGGCAACCCCTTGGCAACCCCTCTGCCTCTTGCTTGACAAACCTACTGTTCGTGTGGCACTATATCGACTTTGGCATAAACCCTATAGCTGCTACGCTCATGCTCCTCTCTTCCTCTCACTCCCGAAGAGCTTCAGGATCTCCGTCTTCGTAATGACTTTCACATATACCCATTGCTTCTTCCACCTCAGATTTCTTCAATATACACTTTCTTTAATTTAATATATGCTGTTCCCAACAATGATAGTATTGCCATAGTTGGATCACACGGTATCAATGTTACATCCGAGGAACTATTTTTAACGTTTAATCTTAAGGATGTGGTCTTTAAGGTATTTCGCATAGCATCATAATAAAGTAATCCAATTTCTGTGAATTTAATGTATATCGTTCATTACAAAAATATTTCCTATGTATGGTCTATATTTGAGATAAGCAAAAAGACAAAGATCCATAGTTTAAACAATTTTTATATCACATATTGTTTAAATGATGCAGTTAAAAATAATGAAAATATTTCAAGATTTTCAATTTAAATGTCAAAGTAGTAATGTTCGATGACTCCTAAAAATTTCATCTAATTTTATCGTTTGGAAGCTGAGATATTTCGAAAAAATTGTTGCAATTGTACCAAGCGAAGTATATCTATATAGTGCCTTTCTTGACTACTTTTATTCCGTTTGCATGCCCGATTCGTATCTTAGAAGTGTTTAGTGATGGAACCACCTTAAGAAGACGTTAGTATGATTATACTTACTATAATAAGTAGTAAATGATACGCCTTGGATCTCTGATCTATAAATAACGCACGAATGATGTATGAATGCTCTATTTTCTTAATGTGTGGAGAAAATGATATTCCAATTAATTTCGGACCTAACGCGTAATCATTGTATAAGGAAGATTTTTCTTAGATCAATTTTACGATCCCTTTTGGATTTATTATTCGTAGATCTGGACGCGATGATGAAATACGGCATATTATTATTAGACATGAGACATGTTGTGAGAGATCTTACATGGATCATGCAAAATGATCTACCAGTGATTCATTCCATATTTGAAAATTTTAGTAAATGGAAGGTCATAAGGTATAAACTCATGCGGTAAGGTTCTAGAGGATGCCGTGAGGATATTAGGGGATGATGCGCGGGCCGGCCGACGCTGCGCCCGAAGAATCGCGAGAAAAGGCGAGCGCCCTCGACGGGTTACGTCGGGACGTCCAGCGCCGACGTTAGAGTCAGTCCGCGTCCGCCAGTCGACGTGACGTTACTTGTTGTAGAGCGACATTTACGCCGAGAACTGTTCTGCTCACCGGCACTCTAACCGACTTGACGTTTCCGCACTTGAGTTTTCCTAAACTAGTAATTCCAATTGCCGCTGCTGCGTTGTTACGTTTAGTTGCGTTGATGCGGTGCGACACTCTCACAGTTTAGTGTCTTATCCGCGTTGTCACGTATAACGTGCTGAAATCGTGAATCGCGTGAAGCCTGTTGAGTTTTGTACAGGAATAGTGAATTCGGTGCACCTCTTTGCAGAAAGTTCAACTAGTTATTCCTGTCACGTTCAAACCAGCACTTCATTCGGTGAGTAATACAATCCAACATTTAGCTTCTCAATGCCTCGTTGCTTATTGGAAATATTTCAATGATACTTCCTCTCTGGAGCAACGACGATTCCGCCACTGGAATCGCCACATATATATCCTACAAAACTCTGTTACACCCTCACATTATTCCTGCAGTTTGTTTGTGACGTACACTTGCAGCGTAACCACGTATTCCACCATCCGTTTGCATTGGATTGTATTGGAATGCATTGCATCAAATCGTCTTATACATTCCAATCCCGGTCCTCTTACGAACATGCTGCTTTCCCTCTTTTAATGGCCACTATTTCTTAAACGTTTAAAGTTTTAGTTTTGATGTATTCACTGGCACTCATTTTTGTATTTTTATAAAACGCTGATTTCGGAAAAATTTATTTATTGTACTTTTTACCATGTTAATACGAAAATTTATCTTAAACGAACGAAAGATTACTATAGTAATATAAAAAATATCAATATGACAAGATGTCCCCACATTATTATTTTCACGGTGATTCTCATCATACATTTTTTCACGAATTTTTAGTATATTATTTTACTCCGTGTGTATATGTATATAATATGTACAATTTGTTTGCCTCCCGACCAGCGAATTACAAATAATAACTAGTTAATGACTGATCATTAGGTTCAATTTCATTCTCTTGATTCTGTCTCTTTTCCGTTTTGTTCTCTTAAATTTAAAATAATAAGACATCGAATGAACGTTATCCTTCTAGCGCCGCAATCCGTATCGAGTTAAAGATAAGGATCATTCTGAGAATTCTTGTCATCTGTAATCGAAAATCAATGAGACGTTTTCTTAGGTCACCGTACTAACGTAATGTCAAAATAAACTTCTATTTTGTTGAGAAACGAAGGAAACACTCTTTTTTCCTGAATTCATGTGCTCTCTTTTTTTACTGATGAAGGAAGCAATTTAACGCTACACAGCCAAATACATCACTTTAGTAAGGATTGTAACGTAAACTAAACCTTAAAACTACAATACACAGGGAGGGTGTAAGCGATATGTATCACTGGTATCTATGAGCTATAGTGAATATAACCATTGCATAGGGAGAAATAAAGATAGATGTCGCTTAGACATTTATTATTTATTTCTTCGCCCTCGATATGCTAGGTGGTTCGTACTCTTGAATACTAGAAAAGTTCATGGACTGGATAGTTCAACAGTTCGTTGATACCCTCCTCCTGGGTCGATATACCTTTTTTTAACGATTTATTACGACCAAACTTTATGTGGCCTTAATATCTGCGATCGTTAAATACCCAAATTTATTTCGCTTGGATAGATCTTTCTAATTTAGAATTTTACGAGCCAGGTCCGCAGTATTTACATTTTGTAAAGGTTCAGATGCCGATAATCAGTTTCCGCCTATTGCTAGAAAGAATCATATAAACATGCGAATACTAAGAATGTTCCTTACAAATAGGGAATAAAGTGTATTAGTAGAATTAATTTCTAATAGAAGAATTAATGAAAAATTGGCACTACTACTGGGACGGAACGGTGTAAACGAGAGTTGAACTGAGCTTGAACGGGGATACTTGACTGCAACTGCTTGTAAATGCCAGCAAGAATTACGAATATGGCGAGTTTCTTTGCAAAATATACCGGACTCATTCTTGGATACCGGCGATGTGACTTTTATGAAAAAAAATATCAGTCGTAATAGAATATTTATTCGGTATGTGATACTTGAGTCGATGCAGTATAAACACTTATACGTGGATAGTTAGAGGGATTTTCGAAGTTGTTGTGCATATGTTTCTGCATTTATGTCACAGATATCAGATTAACCACAAAACTCTGCTAAAAAATTCTGGAATTGAAGCATCAGTCCTTTCAATGTTTCTTGTGGAAAAAATCAAATCTAAGAAGAAATGAGTAAGAAGTAGATTTATATGCAGAAAGAAAGTTTCCTTTAAGGACGATTCCTTGGCCCTAGCCGGTTTATGGTCGAAATGGCCTTAGGGCGATCTGGGTGTCTGCCTTCTCACCTCATAATTAAACTCCGCAGACACAGAGTATTTTCTATTAACATTCCTGGCTAACCCAGCATACGCAAAATGACCACGGCAATTGTGGTATGTTGCGGCGTGCACGGCGTAGTCGCCATCGTCGTCGCCAATGCCGACGTCGACTTCGTTCTCTCATTCTACTACCGGGAATGCTGTAGCTATCGCGAAACTATCGGTGTTCGTCGACGATGCTTTTGGCAACATTACTATATTTGAGAGAACTTGCCTCAAGTAAAAATTTAAGACACTTTATTTTTTTGTGTTTCTTTTTCCTTTCTTTCTTCCTTCTTTCCCTTGTGGGTTTCTTATTTTGTTTGCAACGTTATACCATTACAGCGTTATAACGTTATCACGGATCATAGAATGTGATATGCCGTTCAGACTAAACTCGACTCGCAATAGGAGTAATTGGAGGGCATATGCTCCAGTTGTCCTACAATTGGATCGGTCGGGATGTTCAACGTTGAATGTTCGGTGTTCAGCGTTCAGCCGCTATGAGGAATAGCAACTCGACGAGCAAGCCTGCATATTTTACGACCCGTTGCTCAAACGGCACCGACCACCTTAACCTCCTTTCTTCGACATATATATATGTATATATATATATATATATATATATATATATATATATATATATACCCGATTACCTGCATCGGGATACAAATTTGATTTCCTTCGCCCATCAAGATCTACCCTTACCTTCATTCCTTTCCTGTCCTCGCGTCTTCATACATCATCTCTTATTTACCTCTCGGCCAGTAATATCCTGACATTCTTCTCTTTTTTTTTCGAAAAACATGTCAATTGATTTATAGTTCGGCAAGACAATTAAATCAAGAAGTGCTTTTTGTATACCTAACGAATATTTTAGAAATCGTCGGTTCTTTCCCTAGACGCTGATTGGCAAATCAAGTGACATTCAAGATAGAGAAAGAGAGAGAGAGAGAGAGAGAGAGAGAAGGGGTGGCTAGAGAGAGGGACAGAGCAAGAACGAGGATGATGAGTTTCGAAGGAGAAAAGCAGAAGCTCAGGAATGGCAGAACATATGAGTCCGCTGAGAAAGCTATATGTATATTCTGTTGGTCTAAGCTTACTAGAGATATCGAGAAGTTATACTAGAGCTTAACCAGCACTCTTCTCGGTATCGTAGACAACTGGATAGATATTGCCGCTCAGAGTAGACATAAGAGTTATGAAAATTCTTCAAGTTATAGTAAAGAATTCGGTTGAGCTTCTATAGTTTTAACCTATTTCCCTCCATAGTTCTTTACTTCTTATAGGGTCCATATCCTTCGGTATAGCAGTGTGGCTCAGATCCTAGAGCCTGGATAAAAGCGCCGTGAAAGCCCGTTCAACTTTTTGCCGTAAAAGATAAAAATTAGCATGTCGGGCGTAAAGCGGTCGTTCTCCCTGAGTAGGTTCTTCGTCCAGCAGACCAGCAAAGAAGAAGGATTCCATAAGCGGTTCTTTCTCTTACACGTCGATCTTCCTTATTAGATTTGGTTAGAGACACGCAAGACACGTGAGCCATGAGAATCACGCGACTGCATCTTCATATGGGATACCTGATGAGAGGGAGGCGTGTGTGGTAAGGTTGCTTGAGGTAGGAAAGGAGAGAAAATACCTAATAAACTGGTGGAAGGGCGAAGGAACAAAAGTTAGAAAATCACGATTTGAATTCTATACCAGTAAAGATCCGAGGTGCTTTAAGTAGAGCCGTAATCGCTCCACCATCCAGCCGGGCTTCCGAGTATGAATTATGCGAGCTGCCCGGTATCTGGCACTGGCATACATGCAGCTCGGACAGGCGTACCTATTACCTACATGCATATTCAGAACTAAATAGTACGTAACTGTAATACCGTGGCTGACATCGTTACTGATACGAGGGTGAGAACCCCTTTGTTCACGATACGGATCTTCCACGTTGCGGCTGCTTCGAATTTCCAGCTATAAATCCCCATGTAGCTGCTACATACAATATGCAGGTAGACACAACGCGTTCAGAACCCTCGTCCCCTCTATTTTCAACCCTCTACCCCACCTAGCAGTTATTTCTTCGACCACCTTTCACCCACCTTTCAGGTGTTTGCAGCGAACGTGGCGCTATGGGGATCGCGATCGATATCGCTTATTTCAGTTTGAATTGGTCTGAACTTTTCTTCGGCCAAAGCGTATCCATCGTGTATCAAAAGTAAAGAAGTAAAAGCGATAGGAGCTATCGAATATCGGATGAAATGCGGTAGAATCCTTTTCCAGGAACTTGAAGTAATTACCAGATATCGACTTAATAGAGTTTCAACGCTCGATGAAATAATTACATTATCTTTCGTTGAAAGATTCGATTAGATTTCGCTTAACTTTGTTATTGTTACTTATTTTTCCATGGGTCACCAACAATTTTTCATGTACCCTTTTCAACGGAAGTTTTCTTACATTATTCTTCATTTTTTGATATACACTAATTGATATGGGATATTATTTGTCATCATACATACTCATGTTGGTCATGCTAATATTGAATTTCTGCTCGCTATCTCTTATCTTCTAATGTCCGGCAAAGATATCTCAAATGCAAAAAGAACGATATGAGGCATATATGAAGGTTGCAAATGGTCCACCAACCAAAAATATTGAAATTGGACTGCAGATCAAGTTTGATCATATGAAAAAATGTACAATACCATAATTATACGATCCACAGGAAAACTTTGGGACTGGAAAATAAAGCTGGAACTTCCAGCTATTAATTAAATCTTAAATCCTATGTCTTATTTCTTTTATTTTTTTTATATCTGTTGTGGTGGTTCCAACTTTTTTTTTGAGCTAGCACCGCCGCAGATTTTTACTAAAAGAGGTGGAGTTTTAAAATTTTAATTATGGCACTTTTAATTAACTCTTAAACAGATCCTAATTTTGCAATAGATTTTATTTTGATTTTCCACTGTGGCG